AAGTTTTAGAAGAGACGTTATAAAATGTCAGGAGTTACCCAGTGCCACCCAGCGTTGGCAGCTAGAAAAAGAAAGGATAAATATGGTTACAAATGGGTGTAGCCCAGTGGAACAGGAAAACAGAAAAATCCCAGTTCTTCCTTTCTGTATCAGGGGTCAGTGATGGCACAGAAGATGTGCAGCACTGAGGTCTGGGAGGCAGCTGTTCCTCAGTAGAGATGTGCCTTAGTTGTCTTGTTAAAAAAAATCTTTCACCTTTTACAATCACTTTTCAAAGCACGTAATCAGTTTGAGAGAGATGTAGATGGCCCCTTTTGTAACAAGGCTCATGCCTGTAACATCAGAGAAAGTTGTGCTGATTATTCTGGTTAGATGTTCAGGAATTTAGACTAGAAAAAAATACGTAGGAGGTGTCTCCTTCCTGAGATAAGTATAGTTAAAACATTACCTCTTCTCCTCCTTTATCTCAGATGCTGCACTTGACCTGCCTTTTCCTTGAAGCCTTTTGAATTTCACGAGATCTCATGTACATCAGACAAGGAAACAGTCTCCAAGTCATGGTCTTTTGATAACTGTACTTAGATTTTGTCCTTCAGAAGACTATATGAAACTCAGTCAGCACCATGGTCCCATTTAACAGAGAAGGAAACTGAGGCACAGGCCCCAATCTCCTCAGCACAGCAGAGAGCTGGGCTGTGTCGGGGGGTGATGGAGAGAAGCTGGATCTCACAGCCCAAGTGAGAAATAGGAGAAGGAGAACATGAGGCAGTGAGATGCCTCAAACCCACCAGGGTTTGGGCAGTGAGGGGATTCCAGGGTCATGATTTCATCTGTGTTGTCCATGGCAGAGAAACCCTCCTTCAGTCACTTCTAGTACTTCAGACTCACTTCCTCTGCCCTGAAGCACTCTAATTTCCCACAGAAAAGAAGACAACAGCAATTTGAGCAGTTCTCTGCCAATTCTTTATTTTACCCCCTAGAAGACAGAAGGCCAAGGAAAGAGAGCAATGGGAGTACAACCCAGATTAACACATCACAAACAGTAAAATGAATGGTGGTTGCCCTCCAAAACACATCATTGCACTGTGTGTCTGGAGGGGTCCTCACATTTTTCTTTTCTTCTCCACCTATACACCTCTGCAGCAGATTCTTGCTGCCTGCTGCCAACAGGCCTCCTTCCTACCTTACCTTCTCCAGAGCTCCTGGAGATGGGCCAGGTGGTGTGGCTGCAGCTCACGTGCTGAAAAATCCTGTCCTGGAGCCAACATGCTTTTTCTTTTCTTGACAGTCCTTCAAGTTCCTCGAGAACTTGGGAGCTGAGTGGCCCTGAGTGCCCGTAGGAAGACCCCAGGGTCATTAATAACATCTGCACGCTTCACTGGGGCCATGCACCGCCTAGGTGCTCTCCACAGCTACAAGATGCTCAATCCACCTCACACTTACAGCTTACAGCTTGAAGCCCAAGGCAGAAAATCAGTAATTCCTATGATTACTGCCCAACCTGGGTGTCAGGAATTCCTCAAAAAGAGAATTTTCCATAACAGGGGCCACAGGACAAAGCACAGAAGGAGCTGAGTGGAGAAAGGAGACCGGACAAATATAACATTCATGGAAAAATAAATCAACAGTGCGTATCCCCCTAATTGAGAAGGTTTATAATGTAAGTTTGCAATGAGCCAGTCCTACTCCAGGAGGTTTTACACTCTCAACAACCAGGATGAAATAAGAGGAGTGGGAAGGAAGTAAACCTGTGATTCTCTGCATTACGCAGCATAACTGCTTTGTTTACAGGTTGGAGACTTTTTTAAATCTATAAATAAACTGGGGATATTAATGATACCATTAATCTTCGCTGGCCACCGTCCCAGCTATCTTCAATGCTGAGGTTACCTTGCATCCCTCAGCAAACAACAGTCTCTAGGGGAGGGCTGGATGCTGTGTACCCGGCCCTGGGCCACTGCTTTCAGCAGGACACTGCTGCGCCCTGGCTGTGCACCAGGACGTGTTCCCAGTGCTGGCCCTCCTGGCCACGGGCCTGGAGGAAGCAAAGAAAATACTCATCAGGGAATAAATGACAGGAGAATGCATGATCTCCTTGCCTCCTGCTAGGAAATGCCCTGATGGAGACCCCTGCTCCTCTTGGAGGTCTGGCAGCCTGCTCCCCTGCCTCTACCTTTCCAAGGGGAGAAAAGTGAGTACATATTGCACTTCTTCCACTCTCGTACAAAGCTGGTCTGAAATAGCTCAATATAGAGGGACTGCAACACATCCTTGCCTTGTCAGGTATGGTGGGACACAGGAAAAGCTCCATCTTTAGCAGCATGGAGCTGCACCAGAGGAGGGTCAGTCTTGGTTTTAGGAAAAGGTTCTTTACGGGAGGGTGGTGGGTAGAGGAAGAGGCTCCTCAGGACAGTGGGCATGGCCTTAGCTGCTGGATTTTGAGGAGTGTTTGGACAACAGTTGCAAACATAGAATTTGAATTTTGTGCCTTCCTTGTGGAGCCAGGAGTTAAGCTGATGGTCCTTGTGGGCCCCTTTCAATTCAGGATATTCTGTGATTCTATGATTCTTCTGCTCACTGAGGTGTTCAATATGGGATCTGTTGAGGACAGCAACCCCAGGACCACGTCTGCCAGATACGGTGCTCATGATGCACCAGGGGCTGGTTTGGCTGCAAATGATAGTCTGGCAGTAGTTGCCATGCTCCCTGGATTCACCTCACGACTGTACTATGCTTTTGGTTATTATTTCTGCTACAATATGCCAGAAATATGAATTCTTAGAAGAGTAAACAAGGATTTTTCTCCTTTTAGAAACAAAGTTCACACTTAGTGGAAATAGGTCCCTTTGAAAACCAAGCCTGCAGAGTTTTCCTTTGAACTCCCTGCTTGGATACCCAAGATGGTCAGACACAGCCACATGTGGCTAGAGAAACAAATGTTCCTGTACCACCAGATAATGATGCTGGCCAACCTTCTATTTTCTGTAACCTGCCAAGAAGTTGCAACACTCTTTCAGCAGTAGCACAGAGTAGTCATTCACACTCTGGTCCCAAGTGATGTTTGGCTATGGAAGTTATGAGAATTTTCTCTCCTGAAGCATTCAGCATTGTGACACAGTTTCCTTACCTTCTCAGAAAGCACACAGAGTTTTCTCTGTGCTGTTTACTTTGTGCTGTTTACTGTTATTTCCCAATTCCTTAATACCCACTGTTGTCTAGATGCCACTTCCTATAAAGTATCCACAAAGGACTATTAAGAGAAGTTTGGATGCTTTTCCTTACCTTACTAATGACATTTCTGGGCCTGTGTCAGCAATTTCTCCGTGGAGATCCACCCCTCCTGACCCGACTTGCAACTCACAAGTAAAGCATCCTGCTCTCCCTCAGGAACTGCAATGAAATTCATTTAACTGTTGGGTTTTACTGTGCTTCCTTGATGATACACAATGGACAATCAGAAAGCACTGTTAATGCCACAGCTTCCAAGCTATCTAACCTCTTTTGGGGTTCCTAAAGACAGGGAAAACCATATATAAAGGACAACGGCATTTCATCAGATGAGTTTGCTCTCCATATAGAAGATGGCTGCATTTAGAGAGTTAGCCATCTACACTTTATTGGGATAAACTGGAGTAACATCAACCTCAGAAAGGGAGTGGGGAAAAAAGCCCCTCAAAATCCCAGTTTTTCTCCTCATATTATTCTGTGCCTGGTGAAACAGTGTGTCTGGTGAGAAACCAGCTGGCATCAGACACACAGAGGTCCTCCAGACAGACTCAGCTGAACATTCACCTTGACGAAGTAATCAACTTGTCAAGCACAGGAAGTCCTCGCAGCCAGACCGATGATGGAGGATAACCAATACTCCATCTGCAGCAGCAAGCAGACAAGGATTTGAAATATTACAAGGCAGGAGACCTGAAATGTTAGAGAAAAAAGAGTATGTAGACAAGGGGATAGATTAGCAACATGTATGGGCCAGAAAAATGAAAAAGAAAAGCCAGAAATGTTTCATACTGGCCTCAAATGAATAGCAGCCTCATATGAAGCGGTTAAGGCTTGTTGCATATGGTGAAAACACAGGCTAAGCCAAGCAAACAATCTCAGTCTAGTGGTACAGAAGAAATAGTCTCTCTAAAGCAAGAAAAAGCATCTGTTTCTTCATCTGAGATATTGAAATGTCCATGTCCAATGTGAGCAGTGCTGAGTGCTCTGTGGGCAAGTGACACCATCTCCCAGCTCCTGAGGGGAACAGGCAGCCACTGCCCTGGTGTGTGATGCCTGCAGGCAGCCTGACTGAGCTCCAGCACAGGGGTTTGATGCTCCTGCTCCTGCAGATCCCACTGCTACAAAGCAGGGCCACTGGCAGTGGTAGTGTCAGGAGAGTTTCCCACACTCTCTTGAAGCAGCACCTCAACAGAGACACTTGATTGCATAAAAAAGGCTCTTAAAGCCAGCTAAAATAATTCCTGCCTGTTGACCCACGGCTTAGAAAAAAACACCAAATAAACACAAATCCTAAGTGGGAGAGTTCTCTGCTTAGCATACAGATAATGTGATCCAGGGGTAGGAAGGTGCAGCTACAGCAGGGACAGGTGGTGCTGCCAAAGATTATCCCAAATGGTAGCCATTTCTTTCCACATTTCCAAAAGGAGAGAGAGAAGGGACAAATGGAGCTGAATCCCACACCATGCAACCCACTGCCTTCATCTACTGCCTGGAGTGCCAGTGGCTGAAGATCCACACCCTGCTTGGAGAAGACACTTGGGAGACTGAGATGTACGTACATTGGACATAGAAATGTGAAACTCACTTGTTAGTGTTGATAATTAACTATTGTTTGTCTAGGAGAGTGTGCTAGAACTGTTTATTTGGAAGGCTGCTCCCAAGGCAGCAGGAGCCCATGGCTGCATTGTGTAGGTCACACCAGATGCACAGATGAAGAAGTTCCTTCTTTGGTCCTAAGTGCTGCTGAACAGACAATGGGATTCAAGAAAACTGGAAATGACCACTGCTACATAAACCCAGCATTTCAGCATACTCTGATGGAACACAGCCTCCTACCTGCAAGCTGTAGCTAGTTTGGGTTTCTCACCTGTTCTGGAGGAGATATTGGCCAGTCGTGAGATTCATTCTCTAGTCAGGTCTCTGTAGTAGTATGATTGTTTCTTCTGTAACCACTCAATGGGAACCAGTGCTTTCTCTTCTGTATTTAGCTTTTTTTCTTTGTTGGATGCAAACACTCTGACATTCACCTTAATGGTGTTTCTTTTCAGTTGCTTCATGTTTCCTTTTGTCAAGCTCTTCTAGCAATATTAACTGCAACTAATGAATTAACTCACAGCTGAACCTTGCCAGTCTTTTAAACCCAGTGCTGCTTTAGATCTTGATTGCTGGTTTAATTTTTAACCCTCCTAGAATTGCTGCGTTCAAGCCATCCCAATGCACACCAGGGTCTGGAGCTGGTTCCTGGTTACACAGCGTAACAGCTGTGGGCAGTACACATGAATCAGGCATGCTGGGGGACTCTGCTTCTCATGCAAGTTATCCACAGGAAATAGTTCACAGCAAAAGTTCATCAGAATCCTGGAAAACAAAGAGTCTTAATAGTTTAGGTATCTGAAAAACGATGCAAATGATGAGCATACATTTCACTAGCATTGTACACAAGCAATATTTGGCAAATGTTTTTCCAGATCTTCTTTTCTGTTTCTCATTTCTGAGCACATCCTTAGAAACAAACAGGAGTCCAGAGTTTTAGGTTAGGAACCTTGTTTGATCCTACACCAAACTGGACAGATTTGCAGACCTGCCCTCTCAAGTTCCATGACTACTTACGGGGTCTGCAGGTGTCCACCTGCTGTGAAAGCCAGGTTATTTGTATTTTGGCAACTCACAGGTGGTTCAAGCACCCAATTTTCATCAGTTTGACTTTCAGTTCTAAAATTCTGGCCTAGAGGTAGGTAGAAAACTGGAATTTGTTGCCCAGAGCCTGGAAACACACTGGCCATTTGGGTGCCATTTCAGGCTGAAATGAAGGCTCCTCACTTGTCAGAAGGCTTAAAACAAAACAGGAAGTTATTAATATCAGAGGCTGAGCTGAGTGGAGAGCCAAACAATATGAAGCAGAACGTGTCTCCCCATTTTCCTGTTTATCTCTTGCTATTTTAGAACACAGGGGAGATGAAGAGTCACAGTTTCTTCATTACAACGCAGTGCTACAAGGCAGTGAATTCTGTCCGTCATCACAGTACAGATACACCATCTCCTACAGTCCCTAAAGTTTTTGCCATGCTTTGAAACAGATATGCAACTAATTTTGAAATGATGGAGTGGAACACAACAAAATGATGCAGTGCAGCAGCATGCAGGAGTCCAGAGAAAGTGAGCAGTAGTGAAACTACGGGGGGGGTGATAGCCTGCCTGGATATAATTATCTTAGGAAAACATTGAAACTAACGAACTTTCTCCTGAGGAAGAGCCATTAGATTTTTAATTAACACAGGCATTAGGATTACAGTTGCTTGCTATGGCTGAATGATGGTTTATCAAAAAAAGACAAAATTGCTCGCAGAGGGAGGAAAGAAAAGATACCGTACGTACTGGGTGACCACTTATAGGATAGAAATGAGCAAAACTTGCAGGCCTTACAGCCAAGCCTCACACACTAGCACTGCAGGTGACACTTCCTAGTGCAGCTTGGCTTTTCTTAAAAAGCACGGTGGTGGTAGAAAGGCATCAGCTTCCTCCGAAAGTTTTCCACTCCTGGGGGGAGACTGGGTGTGAAGGTTCATGCACTCGGCCTCTTCTCCTTTGCAGCATTTTTCCCTTATACAGAGGTTGGGGGCTTATGCTTTTCCCCCCCTTACCTTTTGCTAAGCCACTCACAGCTGTCTGAGGCAAATTCCTAGAGCCAGACTATCACCATAGAGCCTTCCTCCTCTCTAACTTATACCAGAGCACTGCTTGTGGAGAAAACCTTTACATGTTAGAAACAATTTCTCAGAGAGAGTGATGAGGCAGTGGCACAAGCTTCCCCCAGAAGGGCATATTTTCTCTTACATGTACCACGTAGAGCTGTTGAACAAAGTGAAGGCTCAGCACACGATTGCAGGGCTCCAGGCAGTCGTGCTCATTGCTGCAGCCGTTGCTGGATTCTTCCATCATCCCAATCTTCATCCCTACAATGGACGGAAGCACGGCTGACCCAAATAGAGACAACGGTGGCACAGGATGACAAAATGACCATCTCACCATCTGGAAGATACAACTTTGTGTCACAGCAGCACAGCTGGTGAGGAGTGCAGTGATGGGTGGCTCCTGACTGAGCTTGTGATGGAGCAGCAGGAGGAGGAGGGCAAATGTAGGAAGAGTGGTTTCAGATGAAGTGGAATTAGGCAAGGCTAATGAGTAGTTACTAGGAAAGGAAAATTAACGGTAGAAAAACAGTTATTAATTGTTTTCATGTTTTAAACAAGAAATATGAGAGGCGGGTAAATGAAGACAAGGGAAGTCAAAGTGTCCTATAGAGTATATTAGAGAGCTTTAAGGCAGCACATTAGCTCTCCATACAGCTCTGAACAAACATCACTGCGCATTTAAAAGGCAGCTACTGTAAGTGCTCTGAAGGATTCTCTTTGCTGTCCAAAGTATACTGTCAAAAGATACCTCAGAGCGGATCCACTCAGGACCTTATATGGCTTTCCCCAGTGCCATATCTGAATGCTTCCCAGCCTCTTATGTATTAATCTTGTGTGCCCTAGGGTACAGAAGAATGCTTTTCTTAGAGAATAAGGGAAAAAGGCTGAGAGCCTACCAAGGGATTCACTGGCAAAGAAGAAAGCTGGCTGCAGCTTGTCTAACACCTGAATGTCCTGACACACCCTCTTCTCCCCAGAAATGTGGGAAAAGAAGAAATAAAAGCAAAGCCATAAAACAGTGGTTAAAGTCATTTGCGAGCCCTCACTGCAACCTCCCAGGCAGTGATCACTGCAGATCCTAGCTGGTTTTGCTGCTACCACACTACCGTTCCCCTCTCGGGGTTTCTGCTGCATCCCAACACGTGCTGGGAGCTGCCTGGGGCAGAACCTTCCCCATTCATTTGCATGTGGCACTCAGTATACTGGGGTCTGAGAGTCACGTTATTTCATGCCACTCATGCCTGCCTTGTGAAAACTGTGACTGGCTGACACAAGTGAAATATGCATGAGAGAGTGCCATCTGTGCACACCAGGCAGCTTTTACCTTCTCTACTTGCTCTGGGATTTCTGACTTTTAGGGAGATTATTTAGGGTGCAGACAATAGCTCTTGGGGATGATGAGGATCTGGCCAGTGAGTCAAACCGAGCCTAGAAGCCCTACATGTGGCAGAGGAATTTATAGGAATGAGACCTGGCAGATGAATTGTTTATGAAAACTCTGACATCTCTGCTGCTGCTGTGAAGGATTTATGCAGTAGAGATGTGTGTATTCCTGCGCCGCTACTGCCTATTCCTATGTATTTCCTCTCTCACTGCCTGTCAAGGCTTTTCTTGGAATATATTGATGTACACTATTCCTGAAGAGTCTTGGGAAAGAATCTAGTGGGTAAAGATTTGCTTCAAAGCAGATCTTCAAACATCTGTTTGTACTTATTGCACAAATATTTAGTGCACTGCAGGACAGAGCTGCCTGTAGCTTCAAGGCAAACACAAATGCTAAGGGGTATTAAATGCTCTTCAGTATAAACAAGATAGCCTGGAATAGCTCACTGGCTAGGTGTTAAAGGGGGGGGAAGGCCACACTGTGTACTTAAAGCCCAGTTCTCTTCCCAGTTTATTCCCATGTGGCATGTTTTATTTCCACTCTCCTGCCAGGTGAATGAGGAGGTTACGTGGCTGGCTGAAATCCCTGTATCACCTCCTGGAAGGATCTGCAGTTCTGGTGCACAGCGGGGACAGAAACACAGCAGCAATGCTGTAAGGACATGGCATCAGCACTCATCTTGATGGGCACAAAGCACCACGAACAACATCTCAGTATCTCTAATTCACAGTCTTCTATATGGTCTAACCCCACCTCCTTGGAGATTTCAACTAAAACACAATTTGGAACAGTTCTGCCCTGGATGTATGTTATCTCCTGCCAACTGCTGCAGGGACAGTCATCAGTGCCAGCAGAGCAGTAATAAACAGCTGGGCTGGTCGCCTTCAGTCACCTCGGCGTGATTTGCTAGAGCTCATTTGTCATAGCCCTAAATCACAGCACAAATGCTGGAAAACAGCCTAAAATGGATACACACAGATCTCAAAACCTGCAAATTCTCTGAAAACATGCAGCATAGGCCAAAAAGCAGTGCCTTCCCTAGGACAGCTGATGTTGGTTCTCTGATTCAAAAAGCATCAACAGATACATTGACACCAGTCTCTGGAGATACAGAAACATCCCTGCCAATGACAAGGTACTTACTGCACAGGTAGAAGTTTCTAATGCAGATCGGATTCAGTTCTGCCTTTTTGGAGTTGAAGAGGGCTTTTCTATCATGCTGTGCTAATGCAACTGAGCCAACAGGGATTAGAGCTATGCCCTTTTCTGCCTGTTGAGACACAGTGAAAGAAAGCAGCCACCTTAAATCAAAGGGTCCAGATTCAGGGAGGCGCTCGAGCTAGAAATCAGAAGGCAGTTTACAGATACTTTGATAAGTTGAGCTTTTATCATTCCACAGGCCTCGGAGATCAGTTGGTGAGAGCTGAGTGAGTTTCCTCATATGGTATTTGAAGGCAAAGTCAATCCACATTTGCTTCCCAACAGGCAAGCCCAGACAGCTACAGTGAGTTATAAAAAGGGGAGATTAAGTACAAGTTTTGCAGAGCTACTCTCTGAAGAGATACAATCGGTTCTACCATTTGTGCTTAGGAGCTAGGAGTCTGAATCAGATGCAGGCAGCTTTGAAGCACCAGTTTTGTCAAGAATATCCCTTACTTTGTCCTATCTTGAAAACTTGAATTGTTTAGCTATTAAAAGAGATTAATGTAATCTCTATGTCTATGAAATTGGATTTTGAAACTGCTTGCTCACTGTACTACCGTGAGTGCTGCAAATAAAGCCTCTGCTCCTGCTCGTGTTGCTACAAACTATGGGTCACACCTTGTACTGGCCAAGAGCATGCTGGCCTCACACAAGGATAAAATGACAATATGAGAGGCCACAGAGCCAGGCTGGAGTTTGGGAGATCATTATGGACATTAGGAAGGCATCTCCCAGAGAGAGGAACTCCCCACCCTGGGACTTTCAAGATTTGGCCAGACAATGCCAAGGCTGACCTGACCTAGAGCCATGATGCTGTGCTGAGAGGAGCCTCAACAAGCTTGCGACCTTCAGAGGTTCCTTCCACCAACTGTGTTTGGTGCTTTTCCTAGTTCAAAGGAGCTGAATGCTGTTCAGCTATGTGGATCTGTATCCTTGTATGCTACCGAAGGAGCTGAAATCCCCGCAACACCTTTTAGAAGACACTTCAGAAAAAAATGTTTTCTGCTTTGGAAACCTTTTTGCTCCAGCATTCAGCCTCGCTTTACTACGGAAAGCTCTGGAAAAAAAACCCTCAACTT